AAAAACACGGCTACGCCTTAAATAATGTATGTAATATCATAGGAATAATTAATTGAATATTTAGTTAGTCAGCGAAAGTCATGTAGGTAGGACGGAATAAAAAGTAGAATTTGGACACTGTTATATCATTTTGGATTACGAAATCGGATAGGCGTGTGCTTTGAATGTTATCTATAGCAAACATTGCAATGTCTAGGTGGGTAACGCTAACTATATTTGTTCCCAGGAGTAAGCAAACATCACTTGTTGAAGACATTATGATATTATTTAAATTTAGAAGCATTTAGATTTTACTGCGTGGTTTAGAATGTTATGAATTTATGAATAAACATGAATCGAGGGACTTGATTTTAAATATTGTAAAACTAAAGGAATAACGATTATACAATTTTTTTTATTAGTAACAACTTATGTAATTTTTATTTGCATTAATTTCTAATGAATCATATCTGACATTGTGTTAAATTTAACACTTTATATTTAAAGAATGTTATTTCCGTGTTATGTAATGTATAAAATATCGGGTTTACTTTTGCGTGTGACTGTTTAATTTCTATTTTATTACATGTGGCAACACTTGATATTCGACGGTAGATCAGAACTACTGTAAATGCCTATGACATTATGAAAATTCATTTAAAAATAGAGTGGGATTGGACTGTCCAGTGCTGGCCATGTGGACACGTCTACATGTGCCCTGAAGAATTTTATGTTTTATTTTTGTGCTAGTCTTTAAAATTTGTATTTTTGTTTTGTATGGACCATGTATCTGAATTAAAGATTTATTATTATTATTATTAGTAAATTATTAAATGAAATACAATTTCGATATTTTAAATTGTAAAACATTTAAGTAATTTATTACCAGAAAGTATATGGCTGCAAAAAGTGATGCTAATATGTTTTTGTTACATTAAAATCTAGAAAAGGACTAACCCACTGATTTAAGGTGATCGGGTATAAGTTAGTGGGCGGACAAACCAACCACGCAGTTTTTAAACATAAGGATTAAAGACTGTCTATATAATGGACAGATGTACCAACATTTGAAAAAAATTACTCTGCTGTATAAAAAATGTATTTGGAACTGTTCATTAATATTTTGCACACCTTGACATGATTATGCAGAAAAGAGATTTGCAAAACAAGCTGAGCACTTTTAAGAGTCTCTCAGTCTTGGATTCAAGTACCACTTCTGTTGTTGCTGTGTCCGTGTGGCCTAATTCTTTATCTATTTTTATTACAATATGATCTGGATGCTATAAAATGTTCCCAACGGTTTTCTTATCATATCAGAAAACTACATAAACAAGATGTACTTGTTACCATTAATAATAAAGAAAACAAAATTGTATTGCATCATGGATATTGTCTTCTCTTACAATTAAAACCTAATTTAAAAAGTTCAATTAGTGTCTATGACAGATGGTCGAAGGAGCAAAGGTGACGTAGTTTATTCTGCGATGTTAGTAGGGCGAGGCGTTGCCATTTCATTATCACTGACCTCAATTTACTGCCATTTTATAGACGCACAGACGTGAATTCTAGTTTAGGTCGAACATTAATAATATAGAACGAGGCATATTAAAAGTTTTATGACTTATCTTGTCTGGAGACGGAATCTGTACACTAAATCGCATCGCATAAACTGGGATCATATAAGGAGTGGTTAGGTTAGGTTTTGTTAAGCGCAAACAACTCTCACTGTGAAAGAAATCGACATTATACCTTTCCGCATTTTATTGATCGTAACTTGATCTGCTAGCTAGGATATAAATTCTTTTAAAGTTATCTTACTTCATCGTGATAGAAGATTTCCAAACAAGTAGACATGTAGGATAAACTTTGCATAGACAAACACTCCCATAAACATGGAAAACTAAAAATTAGTAAAAAGGTATAAAATTTCATTTAGTTGGCACATGTCAAATTAAAAAAAGTTATGAGAACTTGAGGATGGACAAATTAATATAACTGCAACTATATTAGGTTGCGAATACTTTCAGAGATAAGATTTAGCAGCGATATAACGCCTACACAATAAAATGAATGAAATAAAATAACAATATGTTTAAAAGTCGAATAACTTTGATATTTTCCAATTTCAAGCCTTTTTGAATTAAATAATTTTATCATACTAAAATAAAATCCATTAAAATTATAAATACATTAATCAGTCTTGCACCAAATCTTGGCTTTAAGTTTTAAAATTTACTTTGTTACTGGAATAAAATTAAACAGAGCGATACGTGAAAATACTTTCACCTTTTAGGATAATTTCATAAATAAAATATGAATAGCAAGTACATAAAAGAAGAAAGGAGTTTAAATGTGCATCATACTTTAATACATGCATAATTTTTCCTATAACACATCCGAGAATATAATCCAATTGACGTGAGCTGTAAACCTGCGTTCGGTTAACGTAATTCTAAACTTGCCTTGCGTGTAACTGATTTTTTAATTTAAAACAGACCATAAACCAGGTTTCTAGGCGATTGGCTAAACATTACAGAATACAATGTTCTATTCAATTTCCAGGTCGGAAGTCAGACTTACAGTCAGTCTTGAAACAATAAAATTTGCTAACTTACTTGCCATGGTGACTGGTGTTACATGTTTTTGCCAGTGAATGCACCTCAATAGCGTACAGTTTGTCGCGTATACCTCTTGAATAGGATGTTGACACCGCACCGAGTATAATTTTACTTTGGATTACAATAGAACCGTTTTGTACTTGTGAAGTTGCCCTAAAAGGATGCGATAATATTGTTTGTTGTATTTCCTGCGATCAAAGATATCAAAGCCGTAGTGTAACGTTAACGGATAGAGGGGGACATGCACACGACTAGTAATAAAGATAGACGTGGATATTTCATACAGGATACGTTTGAACATGCTATACATATCTTATCAAATAAACTTAGACCACGTGGTGTACCAGTAGCTATAAGATCTTTCGACCACATCATCACTCCTGATCCTATAAGGGTTTCGTTTTTTTCCTATGAGGTACGGAACCCTAAAAATGGTCTTTTTAACATCTTCTTTCGAAATGTAACACTTTAAATCGAAATGTTTTCTGCTGAATGTTATTCTAAAAGCAAATTCTTTCTTTGCTCAACCGAAAATACAACGTAAAAAGTTAGAAAAACAAGTCATTGAGTATACACAGATATTGTTTTAGAAAAATAAGTAACACATTTGACTTGCAAATTAGATGTTATGAATCTTCAAGGATACGAGCTACAAGAACTCGACTACTGCTACTTAGATGTTTAGAAATCTTAGTGATTATGTTGGTAATTACATTTTTTATGTAATGATGAGCCTCTTGATGGGACACAGTAATAATATATCCATTAGAAGATGCGATAGCGAGAAAGTGCACTCAAATGCATATAACATTTGCATTTAACATACACTTTCTTTATGAAACTAAATAACTTACGTAACAGTCCTTCTCACTGTAGGCGTCACTAGGCCTATATAAAATTGGCTTTATGTACCTAACGTGGACTTATTTAGGTGTGTATTCAAAGTCTGTACACATACGTAAACAGTTATGTACTGTTTTACTTTCTATGTAGGTTGTGCTACGCTTGTACATCAAAAATGTACCTATTGTACGCTAAATGTAATTTATGTAATTGTGGCTCTCAGTTAAATGGTAACTTAGTTTGGTTTTAGTAGAAATATTTACAAGATTATCATTTTGCTAAGAATATCTTTTTCCCTCAAAAATTTATAGTTTTTCATGCATATAAATATGAAGTCCGTAATTATTGTTTTTGCGTTTAAAGCAACAGACTTTTTCTTGCTGTGTTCTAATATATTACGAGGTTTTTAATTGAAGTCAGGTCTATTTCCCGCCAAATTTCTACGCACTTCCTAAACATAATAACCTAACTGTCGAAATGATTTCAACACAGTACCGGTCGTGAGAGCTGTATATTATTTAATTGATCATTATAAACATTTATATAATTTTATGGCTTCTATTTAAAACTAAACTTTCAGCAGTTAAAATAAAATAAATTATTAATTATATATTTAATGCCAAATATGTCGTTAATTACATAATCAGTCTTGTGAAGTTTTTAATAGATATAATATTTACCTTTTATAAAATAGACATCAAGACAACACGGAATCGATAATTATGGACAGGACCTAAGTATGATTTATTGTTGAAACTTATAATACAATTTAAGCAGTATACAAAATATAACTAATATTTGATTTGTCACGCAGGACAAATTTGCTATTGGTTTCCTTCTAGTCCTAGATAACCTAAGCTTAAATTTTTGTAGAGTATACTTATTACATATAAATGAGTAAATGAATAACATATCCTAATAGTCTATAGAAAGACAGCGTTAAAAAGGGATTAATTCTGATAAAAGTGATTACAAAGACAAAGATAACAGTGTATTTAGATTATGTTTAGTTACTTATTATTAATAGATCGGTATAAATAAAGTAACACCGGCTTTACGGGTTGTTGATGTGCATTACATGTTGTTAACTTGTAACCGGTCTTAATTAACTTAAATACGTCATGTAGCCTCAAGCGCCTTTTGTTTTGTTCTTATTTCAAACGTAAACTTTTTTTCTTAAAAGTTTATTTTCGGACATATAGTACTTGGGCTCAGATTATTACTTTATAGACGCATGTTAATTTAAAAATATAAAAAATCGAGAGCACTGTCCCTGATGTCCTAAGAACATATCATAGTTTAAATAAAAGCAGTCCAGTATAGGAATGTTTAGGGGACAACAATATTTTTTTAATGTAACCTAATCACAGCACTTATCCTTATAAACCATCAAAGATAGTTTAAAAAGCATAAAAATGACAAGCAAGAATAACCAATCTAAAATTATATTGTTAACCATTCTAGTTTCATTTTCCTTTTCACAGACTATCGAGCAATCATTTTTATTACAATGTTTTTTACAAAAACAAGTACATAACAGCAACACGTTTTGATTTCCAGGTTCGACGAAGGGCGCGACGGTTTCCTAGACCTGACGGAAGTAAAGCGGATGATGGAGCGGCTGGGCGCGCCGCAGACGCACCTCGGACTTAAGGCTATGATCACCGAAGTCGACGAAGACGGCGACAACAAGATCAGCTTCAGAGAATTCTTACTTATATACCGGTTAGTGAGTGTTATGTTTCACACGAGGACAGTAAAGTGAGGTAGAACAGTACTGTTCAGTCAGTAGGTATACGTTTAAACACTTGTAGTACTGCACTGTCTACTATTCTACCCTCGTGTGTATCAATAAGGTTTTTCAATGCTAAATGAAAGCACATGGGCGATATTATGTTAGAGTCGAATGTAGGCCTCCTACAAACGTTTGGCTACTGGACTTTTATAGAAGCAATTCATATTTGTCTGTAATTAAACGTTAACTAACATCTTTTGGAAACCATTTACAGTGAAACCAAAAGAATTGATTGATGGATGTCGACAATTAATGAAAATATACTAATGTATAATTTCTGTTGTTATTTAAACAGTTGATCTTGAGAACAAAATAAACATCTAATTGCCTACCATTTAGCGAGTATTGCGTGACGCTTGGCAATTTATTGATCTTAACTAACACGACACTTCCTTAACCTATTATATTATTTATATCAGGCTCTCCCTCGGTCTCTACAACGAGTGTCTATTTTTATTATTAACAGATTTTTTTTTACAAACGCCTTTTTTAGTGAGAAAAACCATTAATTATAACAAAAAAATATAATCCTATCTATAACTTGTTCGAAAGTTTAGAACTACCATGTTCGTTTTATCAAATTAGGGAACTGCTAGATAGAATTAAACTTAAAAAAATATTTTGTTTATAGAAAAGCGCGACTAGGTGAACTAGAAATGGACTCTGGATTAGAAGCGCTGGCACGACTAACAGAGATCAACGTCGACCAAGTAGGTGTTAATGGAGCAAAGAATTTCTTCGAAGCCAAAATCGAGGAGTTATCAAAGAAAAACAAATTCCATGATGAAATTATTCAAGAACAGGAAGAGAAACGCCGTGAAGCTGAAGAGAAGGCACTACGGAGACAAAGGTTTAAAGAAAAGACGGCAATCTTTCAACATTGATTTATTTACGGATCCTTTATGGATCTAGTCTGTAAGCTGTTACCTTATGGCTTGATGAAAAACCTACCATAAAAAACTTAAACTGTGGTTCAATTACAATTTAGCTTAAACATATGTTAACGCTTTTATCGCCCTCTGAATTTATACAGTACCAGAAATCTACTATTGAAATTTTGCGTAAGCTTCCGAAATGCGACTTTGACAAATAAATAACAAAGTACGTATACAGAAAGCAGTTTTGGTGATACGTATTTAAGGGTAAACAATCCCTTTATAACCACGTTGATATCCATTAATATCCACTGGCGGTCAAAGGGTTAAAACACATGTTTAACTAAACAATGTCTAACTGTACTTTTTGGAGTCATAGGGCTCGTGTTTACATTGCCGAAACAATCACATTCTATATTTATGATGTTTTGCGAATTTACAGTGACACAAATCGCAACATCGATAATTTAATATATTTTAATAATTATGGTTTATTTTATATAAGTTGTAATAGGCCTAGTATAAGTGTGATAGCAAACTGTTTATGAAATGTAGATAATTTAAGATTTAATATAGTTGAATTATGTTCTAAGTTTTATCAATATACATAATTTTATGATTGTGGTATGCAGTTGAGATAAAATTATTAATAAGATAAATTTTAAAAAAGTCTATTTGAATTTAAGTTAGTGACCACATATTGTTTTTTTTTATTTCTTTAATATTTATGTAATTGAAAACTTAAATACATACATCAATATAATAGAATTATTAAATTAAACCTGCATTAATAGTAATTTGTACTTTATATGATTTTATTATTATAAACCAATTTCAAAGAGGAGGAAGTTCTCAATTTGTTTCTATTTTTTTATCTGGTCAGGCCTTCATTATATTTATGGCATGCATTAAAAAACCAAAATATTAAAAAAAAACAATTAAGAAAAGCAATGTGTTTTTTTATATAATTTTACATTGAACTGATTTTCAAACTTTTTAATATTTTATACTATATCTGTCCATTTATATTTCAAAGCTATTTCTATTTTTTTTTGTATTCAAAAATGGAATTATCAAGACATGTTAAACATGTCGCAGATAATGTTTATGTTATAATGTGATGTGTAATTTTTTTAAGTAGTTTAAAAGATTTATAAATAAAATTTCCATGAAAACTATTGTTTAGTTATTTATTGGAAACAATATAGTTATATGATTTATACAATATGTCTTAGTTAGTCTTCTTAGTTTCTTTTATTTGAGTATTGGCAAAGCTTTTACAACCTCAAGGGTATTTACACTCTGGAACAATTTGATATCATTTAATAAAAAAATACTTGAAGTTAATTCAAATTCAAACCTGAAGACCCCATATCAAATTAAAACTATGCCACTTTTAAGTTATTGTTAAATTTTTTTGTCAGCTTATAGTAACAATTCTCTGCACAGTGCCCTGCCCGGATTCCCTTTGCATCAAAAATTATGTTTGAGCCACAAGTATATTTGTTTTTTTCGAAATAATACAAATGTTTATATTAACATATAGACTCAATTTCAATATTTTCAGTGAATGAACAGAATGATATGTCTTCCCTATAACACACAGTAGGGGATATACCCTAAGACCTCATAAACCCATGTCTATAATGGCCAGGTATTATTAACGAAGACATATTTAGTTTACTGCTGCCAGTTGGACTGTTCTGTTGAAAGCAGCATTATAACTTTTCTGTTGAATTGAACGATTCTCAGTTTTTTATAAATGTTCTTATTATTTAGTCAACTAAAGGTGAGTTGGAGGCTTTAGAATTCTCAGAAACACATTATAGATAATAAATACCTGAGTAATGCATGCTTCAAGTACTCCACCAGGTTGAGTAAACTCTTTGAGTTGTAGAAGTTGTGCATGTCTGAAAACACAAAGGATATTTACATACATCCCAACTAAAAAAACATACTTTATGAAGTTCCGGATATAGATAAGTATCTTTAAGAATTTTTTTTTAGGTCGTTGCTGTTACGCCGTTTGGACAGATATTGGTTGAGGCAGGTCTATGTTTTTTGCAGTACAACAAAAATATTTTATTAAGAAATTGAACTTTCAGAAATTATTATTTACAACTTTTAATTAATTCACAACTTAATATGTAATGAAATAATTTTGCACCAGTACATACAATTTCCACAAACTTTGACTGGCAGCAGTTAATTCATTTTGTAATTCTTGTTTCAGATTTTGTTGTTGTTGTTGTTGTTGCGCTGTAAATCCAGTTGAAGACATTTTAAAATTCTACTTCGTTGGCTTAATATTTGAAATTCTTTCACTCGTTATTGATTATTAAAACTTGTTTAGCACATTCAATCAGTAATAAAGTTATATTATTATAAAATAGTTAATTGGATTGATTTTTCAGTTTTATTTAAAAAAAATATAAATTCTCTTCAGTGTCAGTGCTGACGACTTTTCAAGTTTCAACGTCAAACAAAGGGTTGCGTTCCTCTTTACGTTTGATGTACTACCTACTACCTTGTTTCACGAAATTTCTTGCATTTAAAACAGCAAAAATTGTTATTCATGTAAGCCTACTTATTCTCACTTGAAATAAAAAAAAAGCTTTTTTATTCCACAACTATTCTAAATTAAGATTTGGGTTGTGTTTCGAGCTCCTCTTCGTCAATCAATCTTATCTGTGGCCTTTGTATTTGAATACTTGCTTTTGGAAAATAAAAATGGAAGAAAGCGTTGCTGTCAAACACGAAGGGAAAAATATTGATATTAAACAGGAAAAGCAGGACAATCTTGAAAGTTTCAAATATGAGTTTGACTCTGGAAGTCAGGATAGCAGTAAAAGTGGAAGTGGAGGTTATCAGCGTTGGGCACCTAATTTGAATGGTGTACGAAAAAGTGCTTTTACGCCATATAAATCCGCTCAGTGTACTGCACTAACTAATTTACAGAGAGGTAATTATATTTCCAGTCTTCTAATGAAGTGAGCTTAGAAGTTTAGTATATTGATTATATATCAATTTCTTGTTGAATAAGTTTGAAGTGTTCAAGGTCACGATTGTAGGTAATACGCAGGCGCGAGTCCTCGAATTGCCTCAACCCGATTGTAGCTTTCACGCTAAGGCTGGGCGCGGAGAAATAACTCGTGAAGACGTGAAACTGGAGCAATATGTTGATATTACTGATGAACATGGGCTCACTGCCTTACATTGGGCCGCAAGCTACGGCCAGCTAAATAGTTGTCAGGACCTTGTTTGGTAAAACTGTCATGTTCTAGTTTCCTTTGTTCTTACATCTTGATTTTCTTTATGCGCCTTATAAGATTATTGACGTCTTTTATATTTGCTCTCTTTGTTCTTTTTACTATTAGATTGATGCAAAATTCCGTTTAAAAATAAAATGTAGTAAGTTAAATTAAACATTTATAGATCCTTACGAAATATATCAAGACTAATCAATAATAAAATTTTATCATTTTTTTTTTCATAGATCCTAATTAAATATTAATTAGTTATATTTATAATGTAAATGTGTTCAATAGGAGTGGTGCCAATGTTAACATGCGGGGTCCAGAGGGGGAAACAGCACTTCACCTGGCTGCAGCTGGGGGGCACCATGAGGTTGTCAAATTTCTTCTGAATGAAGGTGGTGACGCTGACATACAGGATGATGTAAGTAACTTTCATTCTTATTTGAGTTTCATACCACACTTTTTTGTATGAAATTGAACTTGCCTCTTGAGTTGTTGGCAAAATTTCAAAACTATAAAATAATATTAATTGTAGTACTATATATAATGACTGATAATATAATTTAGCTATAATATTTACTTCTAAAACATTACACATATACAATATGCCTTCAGTGCCATTTAAAATTGTGAGTACGGGCAGAAGTATTCTAGATCCTTATGTGTTTTAATAAGTTATTTAATTTGCAGTCTGGTAGCACAGCTCTCATGTATGCAGCGGCAGCAGACTTCCCCTACACTTGTAATGAACTCCTCATCCGAGGTGCCGACCTCACTCTTACCAATGATTATGATCAAGATGCTTACACTTTAACCATTACCAACAACTGCAAACTGGGTATGATGATTTATTATTTGAATATTGTAATAAAAAAAAGTTTTGTAGCCATAGACTACTTATGTTCAGACCCAAGAGTTAATATCATCAATGCAATCAATGATTAATGGTTTCAATTTTTTCTAAAATAGATTACCCATTAGAAGTATTTTTAACATATCTGATTCTCTCATTTTGAGGGACTTTTTTGTTCTTTGTTAAATTATAAAGTTTAATACTTTTTGGATAAAATCTTAAGGTTGCTGGGTTCTGCAGTAGTACCCCTAAATGCATATGGAAAACTAATAACAGTATCCTGTGATTAACACATTTAATTTCTAAACATTATTACAGTGAATATTTGTTTTAATGTAATATTTTTTTATTTTTCAGCACAAACTGTGATAGAGAATTTTTTGATTGGATGTCTCAGCAAGATATAAACCTCAACAATGTTAATTTGCTTTGGACATACAACACAGCAGATTAATTTGCTAACAGAGTTAAAAATAATAATACAGGGATTTAGTTTATAAATTGTATTTAATAAATATTTTTAAGTTCACCATATACAAACATGTGATGTGACATAAGTAATTCAATTACAGACAATATCAACAATACTTGTTTTTATTTCATCCGAATAAAAATATCCCGCTTATAACAAAAACATTTGTAAAAAAGTAAATAAAAAATTGATTAACAACCTCCCACCAAAATACCTATTATATGAAAAAGATGCAGTCCTTGAGGAAACTCGTAGTTTATGAATTAAAACATCGTGGTTTTATAAACCTATGTTTTTGTAATTCAAGATATTGTTGAATTTTTAAACAAATCAAATTTGTTCAAAAATATAAGTATATTACAATCAAAAACCTTATGAAGTGCAACCTATACATATATATACTACGTGACCTATTTTTTAGTTTTTTCGACCCTTCCCTCCCCTTGGTGACCACTCGTAGTACATGCCAAGACCCCCCTTTAGTTTTTACGTAGTAATTCATAATTATGATTTTTAATCATTTCACAGGTAAAAATTGAAAAAGAAATAATTTGGCTCATACTCTTCTATATAGCATAAGACTGCATGCATTGTTAAATTACTAGTGAATTACCGTCGTATTTTAAAGACTCCGCTCCCCTCCTAAACGGTCACGTAGTATGGGTACGTTCCCTAAAGATGGAAAATATGTTTTGAATATTATTATAACTTGTGCTTACAAAAATAATATAATTTAGTACAAAATTATCACAGTTTAGACTCAGTCAGCCAATTGAAGGTTTGTGGTTTCCTGTTGGACTGTGGGTTTATTAGAATGTTGATGATACTCGGCTTGTCAACTACTGACACGGCTTTTTTGATAGCTAACTCAATATCTTCAACCGTGCGACAAAGATGACCGGTCTCTCCGAACATTTCCATCATTTTCTCATAGTGGACTTCAGGACTTAAGGCCGTGGGAGGAGTGCTGTAATAATAAATATGAAATTCTATTATCATAACTATAATATGAGAACAATATCTATCGCCCGCACCTTCTTTAGCGTAAATTAAACATAAATAGACCTTTTTGTTCCTTTAGTATTTTACATTTAAAATCTTGTCAAAATCGTTTCATCCGTTTTTAAGATTACCCAGAATGTGGACTTGCGCACAAAGATTTGATAAAATGGTTTTGTTATAAATAACCTAAATACAGTTGGACAAGGTGTAAAAATTTATTTTGATAATCCAATCCTATCCAATTTTATTTTTCGGTAAAGATATTAATATTCTTTTAAAGAGATTCATAAAAAGTTAAGAAAATTTATAAGTTTACCTCTGAGCAACATCGCCGTACGACTGAAACTCTTGCATTGTGTTTTTGTCGAATCCACTATAAATACCATTATTATTCACAATGACTATTATCACCGGTAATTTATAACGGAACATCGTCTCGATCTCCATACCTATAATAAAAAAGTGCTTTAGTATTGTATCAATATTTAAAAAGTTTGATCAGGTTATCAATCCATTTCCTTTGTTAACTAAACTGCTTTGATTTGAATGTTATACTGACCAGAAAATCCAAATGCCGAGTCACCCTCTACACAGATGACTCTCTTGTTGGGAGCATGGTCGCGGCACCACATGGCAGCCGCCACCGCGAACCCGGGACCCACCTGAATTACAATCATTGAACTTCACTTGTAAAACAAAATGTACTTGCCATGGTAACATATTATAGACTTATCATGGTAAAGCAGTATGGCCTTGCCACAGTAAAACAGTATGTACTTGTCGTAGTAAAGCAGTATGGACTTGTGATAGTAAAACAGTATTTATGATACTCACGCCCATAGTTCCGAATGTGCCGGCGTCCAGGCGATGTCTGGGCTGGTTGTTGAGCAATATCCCGCGCCCGATGTCCATAGTATTGGCGCCCTCGCTCACTATGATAGAATCCTTCGGAATTTTAGCTTGCACAGTCTTAAACACTGCATAGTAGTTGAGGGGCACTGACTTATCATTCGCTTGGGCCTGGAAAAAAGTTTAAATAATATTTCTATGTCTAAAAGTAGTAACTAATTCAAATTATATTATGAATAAGCGAAAGTTACACGAACATTTAGTCATACCTATAAAGTAGAGATAGCAATAGAAAGAATACCAGTGTTTCTGTTATTAAGACTTAAGGTTGTATGTTACCTCAACAAACTCAGTGTTTTTCTTCTGTTTGTCTTGAAGCGTTTGCCACCATTTGTTCCCGGTTGGTTGCAGACTGAATTTCTTTTCAGCCAACTTCTTTGTTAGAGCCTCAGTGAAAGGCTTGATATCGGAATGTACAGCCACCTCGGACTTTATAGAGTTGTTTAATTCTTCCGCTGATATATCCACCTGGTGGAAAAACACGATAGGTAAAGCCAAATTGGATTTAAATATACAATCGTGGAAGAAAATCAATTTAAAGTAAGTTTTTCATATAAACATACTGTCTGACTAAACAATTATTTTTTTAACATCGCGGCTATTAAAAGTCAAAGTGCAAAGACTTAAGTGCGAATGAATACCTTTTTTATTTATTTAAGAGTTTTTACATTCATATTTACTTGTAAAAACGTGAGGTACATTTTGATAAACATATGACCTTGTGCCCTCGCACCTGCTAAATATTTAACCTGTGCTTAAAATGAAATAAAAAGAAAAAAACTATGACCAGTCATATATTATCACTAAGTCTCGTGATACCAAAACTAATCTATAAATTGGAATAGAAGCAGATGTTGTAAATGTATATCTCTCTCGCTTACTCGCTCGCGGTAAGAAGAGAGAAAGAAAGGGACGAAGTAGCATACCTGTATGACTTTAACATTGGGCGCGTACCGCGGCGGCTGTCCGAAGTGCAGCATCCAGTTGAGCCGAGCTCCCAGCAACAATATCACATCTGCTTGCAGTAGTGCTTGTGTTCTCGCGGCAGACACGCACCACTGCGACTCATCGGGAACTACGCCCTTACCTACCAAAGAATAGGGCTCAAAATGGCATGCCTACTAATATCGATTATTGGTCGAAATTCCACCATAATCAATAATGTTCATATATTCGTGTTATTTCCTTAAAAATGAGTACAAAGATACAATTTTCTGATGAACAAAATGAAATGCGATGTATAGAGATTTTATAACAAAGAGTTATAACCTCATTTATTATATTTCACCTTGAACAATTTGATTTTGTTGGATAACTAGCGATCGTGATTTCGTCAGCTCAGAATTAAAAAAAGGTATGACAGCTTACATCAGGTACCTTCCGGTCAAAGTTCCGTCAAAATATGTCTAAAACGCCTTCTTGTGGACAGACAAAATTAAAAAAAAAAAAACGATTTTTCGCCATCACCAATGCATATATACATTATGTACGAAATACGTCTTTTTTTTGCTATTACATTGAGACATTATAATTTTATTATTATGTCCAAATAATCGTATATCTTAGTATTAAATTTGACAACATGAATATTAATATATTTCTCTTATACTATATTATAATTAAATTATATTTCTATTATGAAGATACGTACAAAGCAAATTCTGATATTTACATAATTCAAGCGCTTTTTTTATAACATATAGATGTTTATATGTATTTATTAACATGATGTATGTTACTATGTACGTTTAAAATCTTATCATTGTTAAATCCTGTCTTATCTCTATCTATTGATTAATTATTTCTCTAATTGCCTGAGCGATAGTTTATTACCGTCGTAAGAACAGATATCCTCTATTTTTACTATCATGTATAAAAGTACAACCGAATTTTTGCACCATAAAATCATTTTATTGTTTATTTAAATCAAGATTAAAAATAAACTTCGATTTATAAAAATTAGAGTTTCCAATGACGTAATTGCGTTGCTGATAATGGAATACTATTTTTTTATAATTTTGTCTGTTTGTTCGCAAATCCACGTTTGTTATGACCAATCTCCTACATCAACTAGGCCGATTTTGATGGGCTTATAGGCAATCGCATTTTTTTCCGCGTTAAACAAAGTCACGGGCGAATGCTCGTTAAAAATATTAACAAATCCGACTTAATTCGTCAAATGACATTCAAGGAAAAGCTAGCTATGAAATTATCAAGTCTGTAGTTCAAAATGGAAAGGAAATATACATATCCTCCATTAAGCAGGATAAAAAATCATACATTCTTACCCATTGGGGTAGGCAGGAATGGTATTTTAGTGTTATCCACAAGTCGTCTGACATCATCCTCCGCCCTGGCGTAGGCGGCCCCCTTGCCCACAATGAGCAGCGGCCGCTCAGCCCGGGCCAGCAGCTCCGCCGCCTGCTCCACCAATGCTGGATCAGGGTGGGCAGGTCTTATGGCACCAGCGTTGTAGTCTTGTGGAACTTTGTCTTCCTCAGTTTCTGCCTATACGATATTTTATAGTCATTAAAGTTTCTTGTCTTGAAACTTTAATTCCGATTTATTTAGCCGAAATGTGTATCTAAAATTTACTGGTATAAAAACAAACAAACAAAAAAAGTTGTAATAAGGAATGAATAACAAAAACATTTGCTTAAACAAGTTTTATAATTACGGATCAACAAAATATTAATTATGCTCATACAATTTTTTTCCTTATAACTTCTTAATTTTTTTTTTTCATATTCGCTAATAATACCATGACTTAAACCACCCAAATCATGAAAATTCTTTTGTGATAAATTTTAAAATTAGCCATATGTTGTCGATATAATAAATTGTTTTGACGATCGAAACTCTGATTTTCAACTAAAATCATCCTTAGAAAGGTTAAACCCCTGTAATGGGGTTCAAGCCCTTCTAATAGGGTTCAAGACCCCCAAATCTCAATCCTTCATACTGTATTAGTAAATATAGTTTTACCGTGAGCAGTGTAGCGGGCATGTCCAGGTAGGCGACGCCGGGCCGGCCTGCGCTGGCCAGCCGCACAGCTTTCTCCACGTGCTGGGGGATGAGACGCACGGACGGCGGCCGCGCTGCATACTTGCAGTACATTCGGCTCGACTCCACCTAAATAAAAAAACAAAAATGTTAAAGTCAACGTATTTCATCAACGGGATTCTTACCACATTTAGAGTAAATTTAGCTAAAATATTCGTATAGATTTATTTAATAATTTTGTAGCGGAATATGCAAAGAAAGATAAAAAAGAATTAATTAAGATGTGGGAAACATGATTTTAATTCCAGTAATTGCAGAAATCAAGCCTTTACAACTAAGATCATGTTATTTGAACAATTTATCCTTGAATTAAAACATAACAATAATGTAGATATTTATAACAAGAAAATGTTTACATTATCTATTTTAAAAAACAAACTATTTATCCATATTGTACTAAACATGAACTAGTATCAGAAATACTTATCTAATCTTTGAAATTCAGATATAAGCACAAAGACACATTGGATTGAATACTTGGACATTTTAATTCCAATTAATAAGTAATTGGAGCCGTTTATAATGCATTTTTTATGTGTTACATTCCATCTTTTTGATTTTTAGATAAAATTAACAAAAGGTTATTAAAAAGATGTATATACATTACCATTATTACCAAAATACTTAAATTTTTTAAAACAAAGCTGAGAAAGATTAAATATGTGGGAAAATTAAAGACAATAGTGTATCAAATTCTTAAAAACATATTTTTAGTTGCCTTTAAAATTTAAATATTATACCTGAAGCCACTCCTGGAAGCCGCCTATGCCCTCATGATCTTCAGGGCAAGAGCCAGCAATGACAAGTAAAGGCCAACAGTTCACTTGAGCATTAGCCATACCACCAATGCAGTGAAGAAGACCAGGTCCAGATACGGCCAGACAAACTCCAGGCTTACCTGAACAATTAAATATGAAGCTGAGGACTTGTCTTAACTACAAACTCTTTATATATATCATTATATACATCACTCAATGTAATGCTAAAGTCCTTACAATGTGTACTTGTTTTCTAAGCATTAATATATGTGCACAAAGAAAATTTTTATCAATTATTTCCTAAAGTGAAATTAGGTCTGTGTTATTTCAAGTAAAAACTTTTACATTTTTTTTATTTTAATAATAATTACCAGTAAGATATCCGACAGCCTGAGCAGCATAGCAAGCTGCTTGTTCATTGCGCATCCCTATGTATTTGAGACCAGCAGCTTGAAATGCTAAAGATGTTTCAATAACTGGGATACCAACAATACCAAATACATATTCAACACCCTGAAAGTACATTTATTTTAAATTTACAATTTTCGATTTAAATATTTGAATATTGGTGGTAAAATGTAAGAAAAACTTAGAAACATAAAAAATAATTGATTACCTGCTTTTTTAGACTCTCCGCCAATAAATTATTGCCGTCTATCCCCATAGCTTGGTTTAATTTTGCAGATACGTGAAATGATCTTCTAAAAGGTAATCGAGCAAGATTTCTTAATAACATTTCTTAAGTTATACAAAACAACTATATTATACTTTCCAACTAACACAATACTGTCTAAATGTTACATACGTAACTTTATCGGAGTATTAAATAAATTAAGATAAAACTTTTACAGCACAAAACTTACACCAAAAGCAATTTGATACCGAAGAAATGCTGTATAATGCTCAGACGATTATGAATTTGATTCGTGAAATGTTGGTAAAAATTGTTATTTCTTCTCACTAACTTCACTGCACAAAGTTATAACTACTTTTGGTAAGTTTTGGCCCTCTTTATTTGTTATCTTATCAATTATTTTGACAGTTGAACTTTGGAACTGACAATGACAATTAAAATTGACATGTGAAAAAGACAAGTGACATTGAATAGGGTTGCAAATATCAAAAATTAGAAAAATAAAAGCCTATGTAGGCGCCAAAATAGTCATTTCGCACCCATAGTGCCATTTTGCTACGCCTAGAAGGTCTACAACTGTTTTCAACGTCCAAGTGGTTAATACTTACTTGGTAATTTTCAATGGATTATTATCATTTACAAAGAAGATCGTGGACATTTTTTATTTCTGACTTTGTTTACTGTACAAAGAATTTTTAAACTTCCAGATAGTCAAATTTGCTATTTTTATTAAGTAGGAGGTTGGGCTATTATATTAATGTAAATTGTAAGATATGTAAATGATACGCTACTTGCACCTTGCTTTTTCTTTTCTGTCGTTTCCGTCTGGTCTTGTCAGACTGATCGTGGTCATTAAGAAGATTCCATGGCCCTTTAATAAGTGCCTCTAATCCTTCCGGACTGCGGCCATTTTGCATATAACGAGCAAGGAGACTCGATTATACGTATTAAAATTGTTAAATTCTTTAACGGGAGAGCAGAATAATAAAAAAGTGCTTTCATTTCACTCGTATCGCCATTCCAAAATGAGATTAACCACAAAAAAATATTGTTCCGTACCCCTGCCGACAGGATCCAGTTACTCAGTCATACTTATACTTGAAGTAGTAAGTTATACTTTTTCGCATTTATAATGTTAGTAAGATTTCTACTAGACTAAAAATAAATCTATTCTATTGTTTTGAACTAAATTAATAGCTCGTTGTATTTTAACCGCAACAAATTGTCTATTCATCTGCATGCCGCAACAACAGCTGTACATAAGTAGGTTTTCTCAGATCTCTTGGCTATTATCGGGATACTTACATCAATAGGTTTGCTACAAATATACGAAATAAGAAACGTTGATGGAAGCAGTAACGTTGTTAACACTATTTTTTGTTATTTTAATTAAACATAGACACATTATTACATTACTAGTTAACTTGAAAAAAATAAATTAAAAAGAACTTAATAGCCTATGTGTTCTTCCCGACTATGTTCCCGTTCCGGAGATACCTTCAATCAAATATCTATCCATCCATCCATCGAAACTTTCGCCTTTTTATTATTAGTTACATAATAATTGAATTTAACTTGAAGATGCACACACTTAGTCATGATATGGTTTGTTTAATTTTTTAAATCTAAGTTTTTCAGACTGCGACGTTTACATAATAATTACTTAGTTTTAATTAATACATCTCATGTTACTACGATTTTATAATATTATTATATTTTTAAGTGAATTTGTAAGGCGTGTCGGTGGCACTGCACGTATTAAACTTTTTACTTATTTAAATAGCAAACAATGTAATATTAAACATAACTTAAAAGAAAAAAAATACTTTTCATTACATTTACTCAAGGTGAATGATCGACGACTTTGTAATACGAATAAAGGGGTTAAATAATTTAATTAAGAAATTTGCATTTTATTATTAAGAAAAAAGATCCATTGTTAAATTGTTTTTATATGTTTATATTGTCTTATAAGAAATCACACAAATACGAATATATCTTTGGTGGCTAATAGCAAGTCATAATATTGTGCGTTTTAAGGCTATGCTTTCGCTACTGGACTGACAGACTGTTTTATGTATAAGGGTTCGTATGTATGTAAATTCCATTGTGACGGCTTAGAGCCAAAACTATTGAACCGATTGTGACGAGTGTCGTGTTATTGATCTTCTTTCCCACAAACAAAACACATAAAGAGTAAGGAAGTAAAATTCTAAATTAGCGAAAAACGTATTCGAATCTACTCATCATAACTTTTAACATCGCTTAATAAATCTTATATCTTTAAATGAGCAATTCTTGTATATATATATATAATTGGAATCTCGGAATCGGCTCCAACGATTTTCATAAAATTTAGTATATAGGGGATTTCGGGGGCAATAAATCGATCTAGCTAGGAATCATTTTTCGTGTTTTATCGATAATCAACTTAAACATAAACTTAACTTTGTCATTTAATTTTTCATTTTCATCATTTTATTAGTAATTGGTACTTAAATATAATTTCCAAAAAAACAAAATTAAAAAAAAAATACAGAGCAAAGCTCGGTCATCCAGGTACTTTTGTATTTATTCGAGCATATTTTTAATTAAGAAATACATATAACATTACTCTATAAATATGAAATATGATTATGTTCAGTATTTTTTTTCTAATTATGCTAACCATTCATTTCTTTGTCTTAAAATTGAATATTTATTTAGAGACAAAAGATAATTAGGCATTACTGTAGACTTTTTTTGTACTCCCGACAATGTGTGTCCAAATGTCATTATGATCGGTGTAGTTATGGCATGAAAGTCTAACAAAGAAATAAATAGATGTAGAAAATATGCAAGATACATAAACGAAATAATAACTAAAATAGGTTATTGGCCGAACAAAAAGCTATATGGATATTTGATGAAAAAAAAATTAAAACCATTTTTGCTTTTTTTGTATTAAAAAAATAAAACTTATTTTTATAATCTGTATGTAATTCATGATGTAAAGATTAGAATTAGTACCGTGGCGTACGGAGAAAACTTGACATTGATGTAAAATACTGCCTTAAATCATTAACCCATGTTCGTATGGAGGCAAGGTCTCGTATCATAATAATTGTTTACGTTACTACGTCCGCCGCGGCTGGCTGCAGTGGCTGCTATCGTGGGTTACTCTGGCTCTGCATTCAGTCACCAACTGTCCACGCGTGTTAACTATTCGTTCGATTTAAAAAATGAACGCGATATGAGCTGCGTGTAAATCAAGTTAAATTTGCGATCGAATAAAAAAATCGTTCGAAAATGGCTGTGATTGATTTAAAAGTTTTTGGTAAGTAATTTTTTTTGTTCGGTTTTTGAATATTAGTTTATGAGAATTAAAGTTTAAACAGATTTAATTGTATTAGTGGTAGTATAGTAATTTTTGCGTACCCACAAAATTATGGTTATAAAATGTGTTTATTATAAAATTTTCATTATTATTTAAATATTTAAAGTACAATTTTCGACTTCATATAAAAGCAATGAAATTAAATGTAAGCAAATGGGGTTTATAATAAATAAAGATGTCCGTATTTAAAGACTGACAGTAATAACTTATTTATAAGGTAAATATAGTCTTAGTATAAAAGAAAACCAGTTTTTTTTTTAAATTAACGTAAAAAAAGTTTAAGTTGTCATTCCCTTTAATAAGTGTCAGTAATTAAAATAAAGGTGTCAAGGGAAATTATGGTAGTAATTTTTATATTATTCATAATTACTTATAGAAAAAATGTTTACTTGTACTTACTTGTTGTAGATAAAGTGAATTCAAAGACTTATGAAACGTATAGATAAGAAATCTTAATATGTGAGGCAAAGTCTGGCGACAGAGTTAATGATTAATTATTCGTAATAATTGATTCTAGTGTGACCGTATAAAAGGAAAATTGATCGTTCTTTTTGCAAGATATCATTTTGTAGTTTGGGAAAGAATACCTAGGATTTCGTAAATACTTGCGTAAAAAGATATTGCCATCCCTTTTATTATCTTTGAAAAGACAGAGATGATTATACTTTTGTAGGTGTTTTACGGCAGTAAAATCCCATTAGTTAGTGGATAGTGGAATATACTGGTCTTTTGGACTGAAGTCGCAGTCACAATCATATTTGATCCCTTTGTCTTGGAGGGCCCTAGTACGATTTTAGTCAATCTCACTCACAGGCACAGGTCGCATCATTTTCTTCTTTAATCGCGGGTAACCTGTTTGTAAAGATTGTCATGAAAAATAGCTGCGATGTTTAAGATCTATAAAATATTGGACATATAGTCGCTTTGCTTATACTAATCAAATAGACGACTCACGTCGTTTCAACGTGTGTACGGAGCGCGCGCACTCGCTATGCAAGGATACAATGTTAGTAGTGTACGAAAGACCTAACTTTGGCTTTCGAGAACCCTTGTGTTAATATATATTGTTGTCCCTGTTTTATCAAAGAGAATTTGAAGGATGACAATATGTTTTTATGTATGTAGTGGAGTTCTGACATTATGGGAAAAATTTGTGGCTGTAATAACTTAACAGGAATATGAGTAACGTAAATCTGACACAATAAAAAAACCCGTATTTTTTTACCAAGATTCTGTATTTAAATGCAATGTACTTATGCAGGCAAGTTGCTATACTGAACCTTTTTATAGGGAACGAGGACGTCTATTAGACGTCATTCTACTATAAACGTAGTATTAAGTGTAAAAATAAGGCTATAGGAAAGTTCCTAGACAAGCACTGTTTACGTAGAAATATAAATAAGTAACATTTATATGTCTAAATAAAATCATTTGTAACATGTCCAAATAATTACGGGTTTTCTTATTGAAAAAGAATAATATTACTCTTTAGACTTTTCTGTATTAGTAGAAGATAAAAAAATATTAAAAAAAAACAACTACACTGTCTGCACAGGTCTAGTTCAAGGTGTAACTTTGGTAGTCTTGACTTTGAAAGTCTAGTTCGAGATATGACTTTACTAGCTGTCTCCGTGACCGCGACTCCGGCTGCGCGGATTTAAAAAGGAAAATAAATTTGTTGCCTATGTGTTCTACCACACTATGTTCTACATATATGCCAAATTCCATCGAGATCCCTTTAGCCGTTCTGGAGATACCTTCAAACAAACATCCAAACATTAGCATTTAGAAATTTAGTAAGATAAAGTACTCATCCACTCAGATAATAAAACTATTTATTTGTAGATTGTATAAACACGTTATAAATGTTACTTTATTGTTCAATTGATATTTACTATATCAAGGCTAAATTTTTTAAGTGTGAGTGTTTAAAGTTTTTATATATCCCATCATAATTAAATTGTACGTAATTTTGCATCATAATATATGTAGGTCTCTTACATATATGTATGAATATGTTAATGTGAAATCCTGTT